TTCTTCTTCTTCTTCTTCTTCTTCTTCTTCTTCTTCTTCTTCTTCTTCTTCTTTCAGCGGACGAGTACTGTCCCCTGCGTGCATAATGATGATGTTATTATGTCCATCAATACCGAATTTCAATTGATTCTTTCGGAGGCTTACAGAATGATGCGTGTAATGTTTCCCAACTAATGCGATGTACCCATTCACATTCTAGGCACTATTCAACATTTTCGAAAAATGACCTCATTATACCTAGACACCAGAAAATATTCCTATACTATAAATAGAATACAACCCAACTTTAGGAATAAGGTAAAGTAAATTTCCTTTTACAAGTAGAGTCGAATCTGCTCTAACGGCCATCTGTCCAAGTCAATCACCCCCGTACAAACAACCACTTCCCCCTTCATCCATTGCAGTTTTTGTCATAATATTATAATGCCACAGTTTAAGACATCCCCCGGTAAAACAACCTCTTTCCCCCTCTACAAAGGGTGACCGTCTTGGACAGTTTCAACAGCAATTCTGTTCCTCTCACCAAGAAGTTTGACGGCATCATTGTTCAAATCGACGTATTCAGAATAGAGTTGCGGCATCACTTTTCCCGAGACGTCTCGCCATTTCTTCCACACTGTGGTCAGCTCCGTGTAGTTCCTGGACTTTGCCATTATGCGGGTCAGGTCTGGAGAGGAACAACAGCATTTCTTCTGTCATGATCATCATCCGTCGAGAGGATGGGATTTTATACTTTTACTTGTTCTTTTTTTTTTCATCCTCTGTTGCCATTAAGCATTGAGGAGAGATGAAATGGGATTTTGTGTTTAAGTAAAATTAGCAAATGTTTCTTTTCATAATGTTTGCTTTCATTTTTATGTCATTATAATTTTTGTATATACAAAGAAAGGGACATAGACACAATAACATTCATTTATTGCAATTAAAAAGCAGGACAGGCTAAACAACAGAAGGAAATAAAAGAAGTGGGACCAACCAGTGGAACCCTCCAACCACTAGCTCATCTGAAAAATACTCACTATATTTTTATTCCTGTATACAATTAGATAAATTCAAGTTTTGTTTATTGTTACTGTTACATGTAGCTGTTTGCTCCCCTTTTTCCCCAACCCCATCATCATAATCATATCTCTTTCTCTCTCT